CTAGAATCTTTTTTTTTTTTTTTTTTTTTGGCATGGGGATATTGTCTACTCATTTTTGGTCCACAGCTTGCTATAGGACCATCACTATCATCACTATTCATTCTAGAGAAGTTAGAGTGACACAACACACAACACACACACAACACACATGCATAAAGTGTGTTCCCACATCATGAAGAGCTGAGATGTCTACCTGAAGCTACAGGACAAACAATTCAGACCCTAGATATTCAATCATTCATTGAGCACATATTATGCATCTACTATATGCCTGGAATTAGGTTAAGGGCTAGGGACTCACAAGTGCCTAAGATCTATGGCTTGCCCTAGTTCATGTTCTACAATGGAAGACAGCCATATGGAGAAAGATTATACAAGATGTCAAGTTCTAAAACAGGAATGAACACAAAGTACTATGGGATTTTGAGAGAGAGAATGATTAGTTAGGAGGAGAGAAGAAGGAAGGTCGCTTAGTGCCTGGTAAGGTACTTGACAGGAAGTATTTCAGCTGAATCCTAAGAGATCTCTAGGGGTTTAACTGGCAGTGAAAGTGGAGGAGCAAGAAGGGAGGTCATTGCAGGTAAAGGGAATAGTATAAAGAGTGGGGTGTGTGTGTGTGTGTGTGTGTGTGTGGTGTATACCTATATGGAGAAGGAAATGGCTGTAGCATTGGGAAGAGTGGAATATGGGCTTGTAAATAAGATTAGTGCCATGAATACTACACTAAGGGATTTGTTTTTTACTCTAAAAAGTAGGTCTTTAGACTCTCAAGACAGACATTACATTCTTATACTACTTTCTTCCCTTTTGCCCAATGTCCTCCCTCCTCTTTACTTTATATCCAAACTGATCGACTTTATTGATTAAATCATGCATTATGCATTTATTGGGTACTTTCTGACATACCTTCCAACGTACAATATACCTTGGAACTGTCATTTGTATCTATTGCTTATTTAACGTGTGAAATCCAAAGTTAGCAGAACTCTCCTTGGTCCCCATCCTAGTGCCTTGTCCATGACTCCTATGCCTCTCTAGGTGATTTGGCCAAGGCCTCAGGAAGCTGTTCCCGCCCAGCTAGATGCAGTGTTGATGCTCTTATATATTTGCCAAAACTCTAGTTTATACTCAATCAATTCTTTTCCAGTTGCTTCCTGCACTTATCAGTGGGACTGAAATACAACATGAAGTTTGCTGCCAATCTTGAAATTTCTGGCAAAGAAGTATGCACCTGGGGCCTCTTCCTTGCTTCCTTCCTCCTCAGCACTGTGCTTGCCATGGAGCAAGCTGTTCTGAAGGAGTGAAGCAGATCCTGGAGGAGATGTTTCTATTATACAGGGGTCCTCAAACTTTTTAAACAGAGGGCCAGTTCACTGTCCCTCAGACCATTGGAGGGCCCCAGGATGAGTTGGCTGTTAAGCAGGACAGGCAGCAGTGGTAAAAACACCTGGTGGGCTGCATGTGGCCCATGGGCCATAGTTTGAGGATGCCTGTATTATAGTGAGTGAAAGCTATCTCAGCAGGTTGTTGGAATTGGCTCCAACTCCCTGGGAGGGGAACTAGTCGGCACCAGCAAACAAAAAAAGAGAAAAAACTGAGAATATGTGTCTTAAAGAAATACCTGAAACATGGCTAGGTATGATGGCTCATGTCTGTAATCCTACTACTCTCTGAGGCCAAGCCAAGAGGATCATTTGAGGTCAGGAGTTCAGGACCTACCTGAGCAAAGCAAGATCCCATCTGTACTAAAAATAGAAAGTAGTCAGGCAGGGTGGTGTGTGCTTTTAGTCCTAGCTATGTGGGAAGCTGAGGTAAGCCAGGAAGTTAGCACAACTCAGAATTTCAGATTTAATTAGGGAAATAGGCTCTCTTTCCTCACCCCACTCTCTCTTTCAGTCAACAGAAGAGGCCAAGTCCTTGCCCACTCAGTATTAGTGACAGGGTGGGACAGGGGAAGGTATCCAAGGCCACATGCCCTGAAAAGATTACTATTTTATTTTGGGGATAGCAGGGACTACAACTGGAAGACTAATCCAAAGTTTTCCTTTATAGTGTGGCTCAAAAACTCACCATCTCCAGAAAGCTTCCTTTTTTTTTTTTTGCAGTTTTTGGCCGAGGCTGGGTTTGAACCCACCACCTCTGGCATATGGGGCCAGTGCCCTACTCTTTTGAGTCACAGGTGCTGCCCAGAAGCCTCCTTTTTATATTGATATCTGTCCTTCACCCTCATCAGAGGCTATCTTGAATTATAGGGATATGTGTAGACATAGTTTAGATCCACTGAAGGCCCCGGCCCCTTAAGAGGAATGTCTAGGTTTTCCTCTGATTTATAACACCCATGGTGCCTGTTACAAGGTAGGTGTTTGGTAAATGTTAAATGAATCACATAGCCTTTGGAGGAAATGTTATCATTAATAGTTTTTCTGTTCTTCCTGCCTAGATCTTAACCCTAAAAATGTTACAAATATCACAAACGTCATAGGTGGGCCAGGTGACATCTGCGTCTATAACCCCTTTCTGTTCCTTAGCTCATGTCATGGCTACCTGAGAGGTAGCCACCATCCTAAATGAGGTGTTTATCTTTGCCAACCATGCCTTTACATACCCTACATTTGTATGCATCTCTCACATGCATGCCTTTTAGTCTCTCCCTAGGTCCTCACAATCAATATGAGGTGATCATCTGTATGTTTTCTTAGACTTCCTATACATGGTATCATGTTTGTATTGTTCTGGAACCAGCTTTTTCCCATATGGATTTTTCTGCTACTGTCACCTGTCTTTTTCCTTCTGTGTCTTAGCCCCTGTGAGTTCTAGTCTCCTCCCCAGCCCAACCCTTGTTGTCTTGTTCAGTTTACCTGCAACAATCCCAAGCCTGGAATTAAGCCTGATCTGACAGTAGATGAAACTCAGCTTCTTCCCCCTTTGGTCTTATACCTGTGATTTTCAAACCTCAGTGTGCATCAGAAGCCCCTGGAGGGCTTCTTAATACAGACTGCTGGCCCCACCCTAGAGAATCAGTGATACAGAGGTTGTGGGTGGCCTGAGAATTTGCATTTCTAATAACTTCTCAGGTGATGCTGATGATGCTGGTCCAGAGACTGCCCTTTGGAAGCACAGCTTGAAGTCAAAGTCTGGGCTCAGGCTCAGCAGCACCATGTGACTTCCAGGCAACATGGGCCATCTATGAAGTTTCCTTTGAAGCCATTGTCTAGATAAGTACTGTCCAATAGACAAATAACATGAGCTACACATGCTAAATGTTCTAGCAGCTGCATTAAAAAAGTGAAAAGAAACTAGTGAAAGTAATTTTAATATCATATTTTTAACCCAATATATAATCATTTGAACATGTAATTGGATATCAGTGGAGATATTTTACAATATTTTTCACTTACAGCACATCCAGATCAAACTAGTCACATTTCAAGTGCTCAGTAGCCACACAGGGCTACTGAGTAATGTAGTAGACAGTGCAGCATTAACTAGAGGCATAACTTCCATATCTCTCTTTACAAAACTGTTTTAAAGTTGATATTTTAATTATTTCTCTATAATAAAAGAATTTAAAATAAGCTTTAAAATGTTAGAAGATGATCCCTTTCAAATGAAGATAAAATGGGCCAAAACAAAAAAAGATAAAACACAGATTTGAGTGTTACTTATCTTGAAAGCATCTATTTATGCTTCAACTTACTCATTTAAAACAAACTCTTATTTTTAACTAGAACAAATGCTGGCAAATATATCTATAAAAGGTAAGAGAAAACTCAGTTATCACTTTTTGGGTGATGAATTTTGGTATGAAATCAGTGTTGATAAAATTCCTTTGGGCTTCTAAAAACTGGGAACCCTAAAATAAATGAAGAATGGATTCTTTCTTCTTTCTTCCTTATTTTCTTTGTTTTTCTCAACTATGGAATAAAACAAGAGAAAATTAACAATTTTACAACATCAACCTGCTTTCTATAACTAAAATAATTGCCAGTCCCTATGCACATCTGCTGCATTTATGTGTTATATCTCAATGAGTAGAGAACAGTGTATATTGTCCGTTTGTAACTTGAACCCTTGAATATCAGGGTGCTGATGACCAATAGCTTCAATCATATGATCACACCAATCTTGTCTCTCTCTTGCCCAATACCAGAAATGCTTGTTGTTTTTCTTTTTTTCTCAAGAAGTTATTCTGGAGATATTTAAATAAATCCCTCCATTTTAAAAACCTGTGCTCCTTCCACAAATAATACTCTCTTGCCCTGCCAGACCCTGGGTGTCCTTATCTACTATGTGGTAATGATGAGGCCATTATTATGAAATATACAGCTGTGAAAATATGGGGGGAAAAAGAAAAAAACATTAGTTTATGATTTAATATAATCAAAGATATACCTTGAAGCTTAATTACCAATTCATTGGTAAACAATCATACTAAGTTTCTTTTCTTTTGCCTGTCACAGAAAATACAGAAATCTATGACTAAACAAATATTTAGGTATTAATCATTAAATGTGGTCCTATTTGAAATTCCTGACTTTTTCCTATTTTGTAAGTAGTCACATTCTAAAAGGTGTTGTGTTGTCTTCTGATTAGTATGGGTGGTTATATTTTTGTGTCAATGTAATGAAGCCCTTACTAGTACACTGCCCATCCCTATTAGCTGCTGTTTCTGGTAACTGTTTTCTACACAAATATTGGTCTCAGCTACTAGGTCTTCACATTTACCACTTGTTAGTAGCATTACACTTTATAGACATGGTATCATGTTTGTATCCTTCTGGAACCAGCTTTGTCCTTTATGCATTTTTCTGCTACCATCCCTCTTGCACCTCTTTGTCTCAGCTCCTGTGAGTTCTAGTCTCCTCCCTACAATAATGAGTAGTCATAAAATATATTTCAAAACATACTGCATTTTATATTACTAGGTACAGAAATATTCCAGTAAATTCTAAGTAAGTTAAATTGAATTTTAAACTAATTTTACACAAACTTTTTCTTAATTAATTTATTGAAAGAATTACAAAATAAAGCTGTAAGTAACAAGAAAATGCCAAAAATAGTCGACTGATACTCAAAGCTATACACAGATACCTGGATTTTGTAGGTTTCCCCTCTCCTGGGTCCAGGTCCTCTTCAGGTCCTTCGTCTTGTTCCTTTTCATTCTCTTCTTTTTCTTTTTCTTCATCCCCTTCATCATCTTCATCCAATTCTTCCCAGTGGTCATATTCATATTGAGTTATTTCTTTAGTGAAAAAGAACACAGACTTTGGGATCAGACATTGATGTAAACAGTCTAATTTATAACCAAAAGGGTCATCTAGTCCGCTACACTCAGGTGAAGCAGGGCAGAAGTAACTAAAAGAAGAAAAGCTGGACACCTTCCTACTGGTTGATAACAGTTCCATGGCCTTCACTTTTTTGCTGCTCAGTGTATCTACAGTGACATTATATCCTTTCTTCTAGTAATTACCCTACTGGTGCTGATTACTACTAGTCCTTCAAGGATGAATGGATCAGAATAATCTGGTCTGGTCTATTCTACATGTTTTGGTCAGAACTTTGTTGGGAAAATAGTTGTTTGCCTCAAACACAAATGCTATGAGGACCCTCCATGGTTCCTCCACCCTGAATTGTCAGTTTTCCCAAGTGCTCCTGTATCAATCAGTTCATCATTTTTGGGATCAACTTTCTAAGAATCTTATACTTTTAAAAGTCATGAACTGAAAATGAGATGTGCCATTCGCTTGCTGTCTTTCTCAGGCTCCCCCCTCCCTTGGGGACACCTATCTGCACCTGACAGTCCTCTGTGGGCTCATAAAAGGCATGATGACCATAGATCTCTTATCAAACACAGGCTGGTGGAGGGCAGCATGTGCTTTTGCAAGACTTGCAGGTCATTAGGGCATTGGGCTTCTCCTCCTTGGGACACGTCTGGCTGGCCTCAGAGGGTGGGACTGCACTTCTGCTCAGCAGCCTGAGTCCAGCTGGCCCCTGAGTGCAATGCCCGGCCCTGCCCTGCACCACCTCTGCCCCCCTCCCCCACCCTCCCCCGCCCAGGGCCATCCTGCCCCACATCTCATGTCCCACCCCTCTCCCCGCCCAGTGCCATCCTGCCCCTGCATCTCATCGCCCCACCCTGCCCCACCCTGCCCCACCCTGCTCTGCATCTCACCGCCCCACCCTGCCCCATCCTGCCCTGCATCACACTATCCTGCACCCCATGGTACCACCCTGTACTGCCAGGCCCCACGCTGCCACCACCCTGGCCTGAGCCCTGGTGGTTCCTCACCACGGGTGTTTGTCACCAGCACTGGTGACTCCTCTTCTGCCTCCTCTGTGGCTGGGCCTGTTGGCTCCTCTGAGAGCCCCTCTGCAGCCTCCTTTTCAGCCTCCTCTGCAACCCCACATGCTGGCTCTTCTGAAGCCTCATGTGCTGGCTTCTCTGCGGCCCTGCATGCTGACTCCTCTGTGGCCTCATGTGTTGTCTCCTCTGCGGGCCCACATGCTGGCTCCTCTGCGGCCTCATGTGCTGGCTCCTCTGCGGCCTCAAGTGTTGGCTCCTCTGCAGCCTCAAGTGTTGGCTCCTCTGCGGCCCCGCATGCTAGCTCCTCTGCGGCCTCATGTGCTGGCTCCTCTGCGGCCTCATGTGTTGGCTCCTCTGCAGCCCCGCATGCTGGCTCCTCTGCAGCCGTCGGTTCTTGCCCCTCAGCCTCTCGGGCTGCAGCCACAGCCGGAGCCTCTGCGAGGAAGTTGAGCCCACTGGGGCCCTCGCCCTCCTGGACCGGAGCCCTCACGGGTGGCCTCGGGGGCACGTGAAGCACCGCTGGGATCTCAATGGCCAGGTCGCCACCATCAGGCCCATGAGGGTGGTGCCTCACCACCAGGCGGCCGCTGCTGGGCCGAATGAGGATGTGGTCATTGTAGTAGATGCGGTGGAGGAGGGAGTGCACCAGATCCAGGAACATGAAGCGAAAGCCCGCCATGGGCATCTGCTGGGCATCCACCATCATATCTAGGCCGACCAGTGGCAGGCCAAGCACTTCCTCCTCCTCCTCCTCTGCAGGCCCGATGTCTGAATCTTCCTCACTGCTGTCACCCTCGGGGGCTCTGGCAGGGGCCTCCTCCTGGTTGCCCTCCTCCTCCCCGAGGCCTCCCTCAGGGCCTGCGACTCCGGCCGCTTCGGCTACAGGCGCCATGTTGCCTTCGTCGGGGTCGGAGTCGCGGCCCACCCCGTGGTGGGCTCCCCTAGCCCGGGACAATGCTCCCACTCGGCTCACCGGGCTTTCCTGGCCCTCTTGGGTCAGGTCTCCATCCCCTGTGCTGGACATGACACCAGCTGCTGCCTCAACCAGCAATCTGGCTGGGCAACGACAGCAAAGATGGCAGCTGAGGGGAGACCGTTGCCGCGCAACCTGACAAGAGACAGAGGGGGCGGGGGGGGTGCTGCTGAGGAGACGAGAGTCTACAGCCGTTCCTGAGGAGGTCCCAGGACCTGAAGGGTAGGGGATTGACCCCACCCAGGACATGAAGGGTAAGGGACTGACCCCAGGAGTGACCCACTAAGGATACGCCTGAGAGGGCTCGGACATCACAGCGGGAATGATTCCGTTGTGGCGGTTGAAGGGAGGTGGGCCAGTTACCCTATTAGTGAGCTCTAAGCTCATTTGCTGAAAGATGAAGATTGACATGCCCTGTGTCCAATGAATGATCAAGGCACTATTCTGAGTCCATAATTGCCTGCCTTTTCTGTGAGGCCTTTGTGACCCATCCTACCCTTTGGGTCTATGCCAGTCCTGTCATTTTAATGTTAGGATTGCTCATTTAATGTATGGTGGTTGAGTTTTACCCAGAAGCATGTAAACTGCTAGGAGTCCAGAGTTTATTGACTTCTACCTTGTAATGGCCCATATAAGTAGAGATGGAGCTAACAAAAGGTTGTGTAGCTCATATCTAAGCAGTGGTAAAAAACCTCCCAAGAAGACAAGATTTTTGACAATGTAACTTGGTTAAAGCTACTTATAAAACAGCAGGCAAAGTTGAAATGGATACATTCAGATGTGAGTGTTAAGGAGGTGGTAAATGACAGACATTGGAAGGTGTCTAATGAATCCTGCCAAATTCACTACAAGCCTCCAAAGAATGGAAAAAGATGTTTTTTCTTAAATGATGAGGTCATAGGAGCTATGCATGGCTGACTACAAAATGGAAGGTTTCTGAGGATGTTTCTGAAGCAACAGCCCAAGACATTTTGCTGATTTAAGGCTGTCTTAATCAAGATTTCAAGTGTTAGGAATTCAGAAAACTTTGGAGAAGTCAACAGCTATTTTATATTCACTTTATAAAAAATGATTTGCTATACTAAAAGTATTTTTTTTTTTTTTGAGACAGACTCTCATTATGTTACCCTCGGGAGAGTGCCATGGTATCGCAGCTCACAGCCACCTCAAACTCTTGGGCTCAAATGATTCTCTTGCCTCAGCCTCCTGAGTAGCTGGGACTACAGGTGCCTGCTATAATGCCCGGCTATTTTTTGATTGCAGTTATCATTGTTGTTTAGCAGGCCTGGGCTAGGGTCGAACCTGCTAGCCTCAGTGTATGTGGCCAGAGCCCTAATTACTGAGCTGCAGGCACCGAGCCTCTAAAAGTATTTTTGAAAACCAATTTTAAGTAACATATTTTCTATATTACATTTAGAAAAATATACACCATTAAATCCCTCCAGGTAAGCAGGAATTTTTTTTCTTTTCATAAAACTCAAAGTTCAATGTTTTAATTTTTTCTGGTCCCACCTCAAGTTGGAGGACAGTGTTGTCATATAAGGTCTGAAAATTAAGTTCACAAACTCATCCTAGAAAAAAGGGGTTACATACCTCATTGCTGAATATCACTATAGTGACCTTCAAATTTCTGCCCTTGAGAAACTATACACTGATGTCAGCACCTAGTCCACCCTTCAAAGCAATTTGGGGACTTTATTCAGAATGACTATGAGAGATATTGTTTGTCACGAACTGTTGGGCCCTTATGGCCCTAGTCTCCATCACCACAGGAAGGAATCAGGCATGATGAGGATTAGAAGTGCAAGCTTGAGGGAAGAGGGCTAGCCCTTCTTTGCAGGGTAGCCTTGAGCAACCTCCATGCTAGCCTTTTACTGAGACTGTACAACATAGGTGAGGGAAGTAATTAACAAATGACTATACTCTAAAGGATCAGACTCTTCTTCCATGAGGAACACCTGCGGACAAATAGCCCAAGGGTCCACCCCCAGCTACAGATCATCTTGCTCAGATGTCATCTGGCTCTTGGCATCCCCTACAATTGTTGGATAAAGGTCTGACAATTAAGTTTGTGAACTTGCCACTGTGCACTTATGTTTGCAGCATTGTATAAGCATCTCAATAAGGTTTCATAACATTTGTATATCAGTGCTTAACACACCTGTGCTCATGTTGACATGTGATAGTGTCTTGCTGAATTCATTATTATTGTTGTGTGTTTTTGGATGCCATATGATGATAGTTCTGATGGTCATTCCAGAAAAAGTGTTCCAAAATTGCTTTGAAGGGTGGACTAGTTACTGGGATCAGTGCATAGCTTCCCAAGGGGAATATCCATTTGATGTTTAAGTTTCAGGAGCTGCATCTACTTTGGGTAGACAGAGATAGGAGTTTCCCAGAGATGAAACAGGCTCTGACAGCTGCTGGGGTTATATCTTGCTCCCAACACAAGGCCAAATCTGTTGTAATATTCAGCAATGATGTATGTAACACTTTTTCTGGGATGAGTTTGCTAACTTAATTGTCCAACTTCATATAACTTGGGTTTAAATCTGGAAGGCAATGTAAAAGATTTTTTCTTTTTGTAGTTTTTGGCCGGGGCTGGGTTTGAACCCACCACCTCTGGCATATGGGGCTGGCACCTTACTCCTTTGAGCCACAGGCGCTGCCCCAAAAGATTTTTTCTTATGTCAATAGTTTTGGGGTTATAAGTGGTTTTTGGTTACATGGATGAATTATAAAGTGGTGAAGCCTGGGGTTTTAATGTACCTGTCACCTGAATTGTGTACTTTTTACCCAATAGGTAATTTTTCATCTCTTAATCCCCTCCTACCCTGCTGAATCTCCGATATCCATTAGAGCACTAGGTATGCCCCTGCATATCCATAGCTTACCTGTCACTTATAAGTGGGAGCGAACATGTGGCATTTGATTTTCCATTCCTAAGATACTTCACTTAGGATAAAGGCCTTAAGTCCCATCCTAATTGGCTGTAAAAGATCCTCACTACGAAGAAAAACCTGAGGCATAACTCCAATGTGAGATCTAGAGTTGGCTTTAACATTTGTTTCCTCATTATATACAGGGAAAGTTACTTATCTCTAGGCTTCAGTTTTATCATCTGGAAAGTTCGAATAATGTGTACTTAGCTACCTCATAAGTTTGTTCTGAGGCTCAAATGTGATAATGCTATATTAACTAGTAGTATATTATTATGTAAAATGCTATACATCTATTCCCATGCCCTCTATATCCATAAGTTCCACATGTCTGGATTCAACAACCAATTGCAGATCAAAAATATTTGAAAAATAATTGGATCTGTACTGAAAATGTACATACTTTTTTCCTTGTCATTATTCCCTAAACAAGATAACAACTATTTACATAGCAGTTACATTATGTTAGGTATTGTAAGTGATCTGGAGATGATTTAAAGTATATGAGAGGATGTATGTAGGTTCTATGCAAACACTATGTCATTTTATGTCAGGGATTTGAGAATTCTCAGATTTTGATATTTCCAGGAGGCTCTGGAAACAATTCCTCGTGGATACTGAGGGTCATCTATATAGTATCTTAATCCTTCAGAGAATCTTGTAATTTGGTTTTGGAGGACTCAGTTGTTTTCAGCTAAAGGGAGTAATATACTTCCTCCATGACTAAATTCATCCTCTGTCTTCATTCAAGATTTGAGTGAGATAGGATTATATTTAAAACATCACTGTTTGTTGAAAATATATTCCCAGTTTCATTTTGCCTTCTAAGTTGGTTAATGTTTCTAAGTATGTTGTTTTTTACTTTCAAGTTGTAAAATGTAACAATCTTTTTGTCATGGATTTAACTTCATTTTAAGTTTGCAGAGATGGCATACTCCCAGGGAGGGGCTGAGCCAGGACTGCTTTAGTGAGCCTAAGAAACACCGGCCCTCAGGGGATCATAGCTGAGACAAAGACAGGTGTGCTGAGGCTGAAACTCCGAGCTGAGTGTGGGTTCTAAATGTACCCACCCCAACACAAACTGCAGGGGAGACAGAAACACCAGCTCCGGGTAGCGGCACAGACTGGAGGTGAGTCACAGTTTCTGTGAACTCAAACAGTGCCTGGTCCACAGGGGAATATAGCCAGGACAGAATCACAAATTCTGTGCAAATATAAGTGTCAGTAACATCAATCAGGGGTGGGGCTGGAACTGAGTGAATTGCCACAGCTTCCATAAACCACCTGAGGTTGTCAGGCCTCAGCTTCCCCTGCTGGAAGATGGCAGAGTGTGGAGGGCTAGCGGAGGAGACATAAGATCTCTCTGTGACTCAGGCAGACTTAAGCCCATGGAGCATCTGCTCATTGGAGGTAACTGGGCCATAGCCCTGTGGGGTTACCAGTGACTGGGTATGACGGAGGTGCAAGGTGGGGAAGGAGGCATCAACCTTCCCCGACTAATTCATTTGCTGGGTGAAGGCGTCCTTCTGACTCCATGAAGCACCAGAACAAGTCATACTTGAGCTGCCAGCAGACCCCTGCTATCTAGTTGCTGGAGACCTTTTGAACTCTCTCACTTGAGACAAGGTGCTGACTAGGACAATTGATTTGGTTCTCTCGGACTGGTACAATTACCTGAGGATATCCAAAGTGGTAGCCTGGGTGTGTGGTTGTGGGAAGGTTTAATTTTCCTTTTCCAGTTGTTGCCTGTAGGGGGTGGGGTGACTTAATTGCTGGCATTTCTCCAGAGCTGAGACTTCAACCCAGAGTAACTAATTCACTAGGGTAGGACAGAGACCAGCTGAAAACAAGACAGAGCCACTTAGCCCCACTACACCAAGTAAGTCCCCAGTGTCTCAGGCCATAGCACTGTATGGGTCCTTTCAAAGCTCTAGGGGAAAAGGTACAGATACCAGTCACAGCACTTGGGCAAAGGGCTGGTTAATACTTACTCCAGGAGCCCCCCAACCCAACTTCAGCTTATCTGCTCATCTATCCAACGGTATAAAATAATCATGGGGCAGAATCAGCAGAAAAACTCCAGTAACATGAATAACCAGAGTAGATCAACTC